TTATGTACATATGAAGCGCAATACTAATTTGTTTTATGATCTTTTCGTTACTTATTAACCATACATAGTTGATGTACGGTCCGTATTTAGGTGTGCCAATGTAAACATATTTATGAGTCGTGTATTTATTGCATTGTAAATGTTACTGAGAGTAATTTTTCAATAAAATTCAATTAAAATAGACGGAAATAGTTTTTTTGTTTTCTTCAATTTCTTTTTTTGTGCTCGCTCTCGTCCCTTCTCCCGCTCCCACACTACAGTACGGCAACCGAGGTGGCTCAAAATGGCATTTCATAAAACCATTTTTACATTTTATTTACATTTTTTAAAACTAATATTTAATTTATAATCCTTTTTTAAAAAACAATTTTGGTCATAAAATCGATTTTTTATAACTCACTTTCGTTATTGCGTTCTGTTTTTATTTCAAAAACCAATTGGTAAAATCCATTTTCGTTTTTAAAATCCATTTTCGTTTTTAAAATCAGTTTTCAATTTTCAATTTTTTGTTTTCAAATTGAATTGTATTTTAAAAATTAGAAATGGATTTTCACAATGAAAACAGATTTTAAAATTTTTAATTTAATTTAAAAAGCTTCAAGATGGCTGCGTGTCCGGTTGTCATAGAGTCCGTGACGTTAGTGAAAGGCCTCACAACTGACCCCTGGCGTAATTGTAGATAAAGTGCAAATTCTTATATATATAGTTGTTCTTGCTTTTTAGACTTGCTACAATAAGGTTAGTGTCTGTGAAGTTTTTGTTGGCGATGTAAACTTATTGAAAGTACATATTTACCCCGCTTCTACAAGTCTCACAATAAGGTGAGCTCACTGCACGTATGTTTGTTGTTTTCGTTTACCATTATTGAGCACAAGAACTGCGCAAAGAGAAGGGAAAACAGTATGGCAATCAGGGAAGTTTCCTCAAATGTTAGATTTTCTGCAAGGGCTGGACATCAGACCTGTCAATTTAATACCCAAATGAACTGAATGTAATAAAATGCTTTGGAGTTGGGGTATTTCTGATAGCAAATTATTTATTTTTTTCACTCACATATTTTACATTGAGATGATACAATTTTTAAAAAATCTGCTATCCAATAAAAAGAAAATTTACTTTTTAGACACCTTTTTCAGGAAAGT